AGGTACGTCGTTACAGACATACCAGGCTTCAATCTAACAGCAAAACCGTATAATTCCGTTCTCTCACCAGATAGAATAAAATATTGGATCAAACCTATCAAACCCCAGGAAAACGGAACAACAGCAACTTAATCTAAATCTTACATTCTAACTTAATAAATAGCAATTTTCCTAGTCAGGATTGCCAAACCTTATACAAGTTAAGTCTAAGAAACTGTGAGCCCTTCAGTGGACCATAAATCTTGTGATGTAATCCGTAAGATAATAATATCATAAGTAAATGTATACGTTTAATTAATTATAAGCTAATTTCTTTTGTTGTTTTATAATCATAGTTTTAAGTATCTAAGAAAAAAAGTGTATACTTATTATACGGGAACCGTTTCTATAATTTCAGTTTTTATTTTTACCCGTTCGGGACGAACGCTTACGCAGAATGGCCGAGCTGTAAGAAACGGCCTTTATAACTAGACTTTCAGTTAGTAAATCACCGCGCAGTATGCGCGCGCAGTCCTCCTCAACGTTGATTGGCTTTCTGCCAAGTAGTGCCGCAGCGGCGGCACCTGATTGCGCTTACTTTTGTAAACGCTCTCCGATTGGAGAGCGTACGAGCTAACCCTACCCAAGGGGCATCAGTTGTAACAAGACTACACAAGTGTACACCACGGAACGTGTGGTTCCGGCAGTGACTCTGAATAAAGATATATTTACTGTTATCGAGACTAAAGCTCAAAGCCCTCGTCGTCGACGTTGTCGCCGACTCTCCAAAACTCTCCTAAGCCATACTAACGGCGTTCCCAGTTCCCCTGGCTACCGTACCGACAGTTTCCATTCTAGATTGTCCCTGTCTTACAATAATGAGTCTTTAGTCTGTAGTCGGTCACTCCGGATCTACAATAGATTTTTAAGTCTTAAACCATTAGGAAGGGACGAATCGCAATCAATTATTCTCCTCGCATTCGATTGTAGTTGGTCAATTTCTTACGGCTTAAGACTTAAAACACCTATTGTAAATCCGGACTAATCGGAAGTCTTAAGTTTTAACCTAAGTAGGTAACTGTACAATTTTTCACATCCACAATGGCTGCGTTCAGCAGAGAAAGCAGCTTTGCAACTGTTGTAAAATTCTTCAATATGATTGATCTTGCCCTTAGTTCTTTATTGGATCTAAATGTATAAACCAATCATATTTAAGAATTTTACAACAATTGCAAAGCTGCTTTTTCTGCTGAACACAGCCAATGAATCGCTAGTTGTATAGCAAGTCGTTTAATTCGACCAATAGGAAAGTCGATAGAAGAAGTTGAATTTTCAGACTGTTAAACTGTTTCAGACTGTGTAATCGTAATCGTAAACAGCGAAAAAATGTGGAAAGAACGTGAAAAGAATGTGAAAAGAATGTGAAAAGAGAATGTGAAATATTATATTATATTTCATTCACGTGAATAATATACGTACAGTTGATTTTTTCAAACTAAAGATGGTTGTCAAATTGACAAAGCCACATGATTGGCCAGTTGTAAGAGAATCGGTAGTCGGTAGTCTAAAGCCTCGTCTACAATAGTCGCACAAGATGTGTCGCATGTCGTATGAAATGTCGCAGAAATGTCGCGTATAGTCGCATGATTGTCGTAGTCGCAAGAGCTCTTGTCGTACGGAGTTGAGCCAACTTCAACTTTCTGCGACTGCGACGTGCATGTCGCATGAGCTCAGCCAATCACAGCACAGCAAGTTGACGTTTAGAATTTGTCATCGAATTACGTGCAAACAATCGTTGTGACTATTGTAGACGCTCATTTAGTGATACTCTTGCGGCATGCGACAAATTTTCCTACGATGCTACTACTCGCGACATCTGATACAACCTGTGCGACTATTGTAGACGAGGCTTTATACGGGGTCTACAATAGAAGTCGTAGCGGTCGTAGGGTCTTAAGTCATAGACCAATCATAGTCGATTATTCTTCTCCATATTCTACTGTGATTGGTTAATTTTCTACAACTTAAGACTCTATGACTGCTACGATTTCTATTGTAGACCCTGCTTTCTACGACTTAAGATTCTACGACTGCTATGACTTCTATTGTAGACCCCGCTTTACGTGTTGGCTGTTGATGTGGTTGAAGTTTGGAGCGATCCTGGGGGTCGATTCTGTATCTTCAATCAAGGTGAAAATTACAAAAGTGAGCAAATTTACTAGGTGTTGGCCAATGAAATTATCAGTATTCTAGTAAATTCACTCATTTTTGTAATTTTCACCTCGTTTCAAGATACAGAATCGATCCCCTGGAGCGAAAATAAAGGTTTGTTCGCGTCGCTTACTCCAAATTAACCCAGAGAGCACTTGGATCACCGGTAGGATGGCGGTTGGAGCAGTTGGATTCATGTGCCTCAATACTCGGTGACACGAACGGATTTAGGACAAGTTGGGACAAGCGTCCTCCAGAAAAAAAGCGTCGCTTTGCCTTATGGACCGAGTTTAATCGTTAAATTGAGCGCCACTTTCGTTAAAGTTGACTACAGAACATAGGTTAAAATATCTGTAAGAACCATAGACATATAAGATAGACCCAGCATCCGTATACTTTTCTATAGTATATGTTGGGTTTGGCAGAACGGTGCGAGAGGCAAAATATCGGGGCAACCTGTTCTTCTCTGCGCGCGCATCTTGACAATCTTAACAAAATCAAAATGGCTGCCTACGTTAGAATTGTCTGTATTCTTTGCACCTATTATTAATAACTGTTAGTATTGTTTCTTTTGTAAAAAAAATTGAATATGGAGACGTGCAACGCATGTGGGTATCAAAAGAAATTTGAAACAGGAAAAAAATATTCTTTCAGACGTAAATAAAACATTTTAACCTCTACTTATGTATATGCATACAATACGTACAACATATGCTTCATTTAAGCGTAACAGAATATTTTTTCCTTGCCCATCAGAATACTGGGTGACGCAAAGTAACACAATGGGTAAGGAATCCAGACGATCCTAACGTAGTCAGCCATTTTGATTTTGTCATGAATGTCAAGATGCACGCGCAGAGAAGGACAGGTTGCCCCGATATCTTGCCTCTCGCACCGTTCTGCCAAACCCCAACGTGTACTATAGATGCTGGGTCTATCTTATATGTTTATGGTAAGAACCATGAAATACTTCTCTCAACACTGTACATTCTCAATCATTACGCATGCGTGCGTAATATGCCCCAACCGCACCACCTTCAGAGGTGAAGCAAATAGAGCATGCTCGTAATTGATCCATGAAGTATGCTCTAAGGCGTCGTCTACAATACACGGAATAAGAAGTAAGAGTAAGAAATTGACCAATCACAGTCGAATGTGAGAAGAATAATCGACTGTGATTGGTCAATTTCTTACTCTTACTTCTTACTCCGTGTATTGTAGACGACACCTAAAGCCTATTCTACAATTACGTAAGCGTAGTTGTAAGTGATTGTAGTTGTAAGAATTGATCAATCACAGTTGAATGTTCTTCTCATATTCGATAGATTGATTGATCAATTCTTACAACTACAACTATTTACAACTACACTCACGCAATTGTAGAATGGGCTTAACGCGACGCGAACATCTAATCGCCATATTGGTTCCGGTGACGCGAACGTATTGGAGCACGTTGGAATGAACAGGAGCATATTGGAGCGTGCGACGCGAACAAACCTTGTAGGTAACCACACACTGAAATAACAGACAATCGAAGATCTCGCATATATACATGTGTCCAAAAATTTCTAATGTATGTACAGTTTCAAACGAAGATCGCGGTCCGCGAAGGGAACCGAATGACTAAAAAATCCTGCGAGTCCTCTCGTACTTGCGATAAAAAATTTTCTTCTTCGTCCCTGGGTCCTGTGAAAAATCTAAAAGAACGAGAGCGATGTCTGATATCATTGACGATAAAAATAATAATTCGAAGAGATAACGGTCCCGGAAGCGTTTCAAATAATGGCAAACACCCGCGCGATCGCTCGTACCTGCGTTCGAAAATTTCTTACGCTTGTTCCAGTCCGGAACCAAAATGGAAAAGGTCTTATGGAATATATCTGAGACTACAGACGCATAAAAAAAAATAATTCGTTGAGATCGTGTTATTAAAGTTATTTTATTGAATGTACTAATAAAATTGAAGTGACTGTTCAACTCGGCGGTGAGGGGGCTTTGTGCGACTCGCTCACTGGCTCGAGTTTCCACGTCGTTTCCACGTCGTTTCCACGGGAAGAATGCGTCGTGAATACGTGGTCGAGAAATAAGAAACACTTTCTCTGAGTTACTATAAGATTTAATCACCTCGTGTGCGGACGGTTGGTTACAGACATATTGAAACGGAAGATTTTTCACTGATTTTCGCGCACGTTGTAGAGCACGTGCGTTCTTCTTCTTCTTCTTCTTCTTCCTAATATTTGGCCAGGCAGCCAACCAGGCTGAAACTAGGCCATTGAGGTCTGTATATCTGGTTGTTAAACGCTAAAAGGTTGCCGACTTGTTGTGATGACGCGCAATCTCGATATCCCCCCCCCCATCACCAGACGCCTGCTACCACCCAACGGTGAGTCGCGCGCCAAAGGAGAAGGGAAGGGGAAAAAATATAGAATAGCTAAAAGAAAAGCTCGTTGGCCTTCATGAATGCCAAGAGCAGGCGACATAGTTTGGGAGAAGGGGAACGAAGGGCCGGGAGGAGGTTCGGGGAAGGATCAGGGAATTTCTGCGCTATGTAATTTCTTATAGGAGATGAATTAGAATTGAAGGTTTCGCAATGAAATATGAGGTGATTGATTGATTGTCGGGGATCACCACAGGGACATGCAGGAGACTCCACCATGTTGACCCTATGGAGGCTTTCGTTGACGTTTATATGATTTGACCTCAGACGGTTAATCATTACAATTTCGTTTCTTGATAAGTTGGCTCCATGGAACCATGTTTTGTTAGATGAAGCGTTATAAAAATTTTCATAGTACAGAGTGCCTTTGGATTTAGAAATGATCTTCATGCTTTCTTCGGATTGTCTTTTTGCTTGTTCGGTAGATTCCGTGAGAAGGGATCTTGAAGGGGGGTTTGTATCCCTCTATGGCTGCTTGTTTGGCCGCAGCATCTGTAGATTCGTTGCCTGGGATCCCGACGTGAGCAGGCACCCAGAAAAATATAATTTCCTTATCTTGCTTGGTAATGTTAAGATAAGCTTGTTTAATGTAATAGATTATGTAGTTGGGCCCTAGTGGAGTTACTGAGTGCCTCCAATGCACTTTCGGAATCTGAAAAGATGACGTTCTTCTTAGTGTTAAGATCTCCGATTAGCTGGATGGCTTGGAGGATGGCCCATAGTTCCGCCGAAAAAACTGAAGTTTCAGGGGGTAATTTATGCTTTACTGTTCCCTCCATGTCAGGCGTGAAAACCGCTGCTCCCATCACGCCGTCTAGATTCTTTGATCCGTCAGTGTACCAGGAGACGGCGTTTTGTCTGTAATTAAAGGATTTGTGATAGAAATCCGCCTTAGTCAAGCTAGGGTTATCCTTCTTGTTGCAGCCCTTTAAGTCGTTGATGTAATTTATTTGTAGAGTAAGGACCTCGTAGGAGTGCCAGAAAGCGGGTGGGTAGGTGGATCGATGGATAATGCTCTTTTCTCCACGACTAGTTACATAATGCTTGAATAATCTGGATTTGCTGATGGCGTCGATCCTACAGTTTTTTCTGGTAACCGCTATCTCCATCTCCTCCAGGGAACGGTATACCAAGCTGAACCTACTTGCCATGGCCTTGTAAATGAATCTTGAAGTATTTAGATTGAGCCTAATGTCAAAGCTGATTTCTTTTGCTTCAGCTAACATAACATTGATCGGCGTAGAAATGCGATATCCCATAGCTCCCCTAATCACTCTATACTGGAAACGCACCAGTTTGAGATAATTCGGCGCAGAAGAGGACCAAGTGAAATAGCGACACCCATATTCAACCGCACTGCGAAAGATGGATCTATACAGTAGATCACTGAGCAGAAGACCCGGATGGGAGCCCCAGGTAACACCCGACAAGGTAGCCATGATGCGAGAGATTTTTTTGCCTTTTTCAATGAGGTATTTAAGATGGTGGCCACCCTTAAGGCTGGAATCCAGAATAACCCCCAAGAAGCGCTGAAAATGAACTCTAGGGACCTGATTCTCATTAATTACTAATTTTGATGAAGTTTTTTTTCCGGGTCCTTGTGAAAAGCAAATCCAGCTAGACTTGCCCGGGGATAATTCCAGATTTCTATATTTAAGATATTCGTACAGTTTGTTGAGTGAAACCTGAATCGACTCAGCAGCAATCCTCGGGTCCCTATGTGTGGAGTAGAGCACCACGTCATCTGCGTATTGCAGAAATCGAGTGTCAGGATGCAAATGCTGGCCCAAATTCCTGAGATAGATGTCAAATAGCAGAGGGCTCAGAGTCGAACCTTGTGGGATGCCTTTGTATGCCATATAAGGTCCTTGAGATTCACCGTCGACTACAAAAAACATGGTTCTGATGCTAATCAGGTTCTCCACAAATTTCCTGAAGAGAGCTGGAACTCCTATATCTTTCAGATCCTCCAAGAGAATATACGGATCCACGTTGTCGAACGCACTTGTAATGTCCAAAAAGGCCGCGACCGTGACGGAATGTTCGTAGAAGCCAGTTCTGATTGCTGTTGTAAGAGCGGCTAGGTTGTCGTCGCAGCTCCTGAAAGGCCTGAAGCCAGCCTGAGCCTGAGGAAGAATCGGGTTAGATTCCACAAACCATCTCAGCCTCTGATAAAGAATTCGCTCCATAAGTTTGCAGACACACGACATAAGCGAGATGGGTCTAACCGCCTTATTGCCAGGCTGAGGAATGAGTATAACCAGCGAGGTTTTCCATGAGTCTGGGAATATTTCCCGGGAAAAAATTTCGTTGAACATAGATAACAAATACGTCTCGTGTTCCATGGGCAGCTGATCCAGCATCTTGTAGCAAACTTGGTCCAGTCCGGGCGCGGAGTTTTTTCTGGAAGAGATTTTTGCTCTCCGGTATTCGCTCATGGTCAGGGGGTCGTCCAGCCCAGCATGTGTACTTGTGTTTTTCTCGTCCTCCGATTTCATGTCTGTCAAGGTTTTGGATCTATTGCAAAAGGACGACGGAGGACACAGTTTAGAGATAGCTTCCAAGGCAATTCGTGTGTGTTCTTGCTGCGGGGAGTCCTGTTGTGACGCCCTTCTCTTGAAACTTTTAATCAAGGCCCAAATCTGACTGGTAGGAGTCCTTGCGTTGAAACCATTCACAAGGTTGCGCCATCCTCTTCTCTTTTGTTCTAGGAGTACCCTGGCGCAATTCAAGCGAGCCCTGCGAAATTCTTGATGGTTCTCCTCGGAGGGGGCGGACAGAAACTCTCTAATGGCCTTCTTTCAATCGCGAACCGCTTTGGAGCAGATCTCATTCCACCAAGGTGGAAGTTCTAATTTTTTTATTTGTACAGAGGTGCGTGGAAGGCGCTTGCTCTCCGGGAGGAAGCTCCTGGCCGCCTCAAGGCTATTGTTAGTAAAAGCGTCATAGCGACCTAATAAATCATCTCCAACTTGAGCGGGAAGATCCTTAGTGGTAGAGAGCAGGATCCGAAACAGATCCTGACACATTTCTTTAGATAATGGAATTTTATAATAAAATTTTTTTTTAAAGCAAGCTTGAATACCGATTGTCGTGATGACGGGAAAGTGGTCACTACCGAGAGTATCGGAGTTTGTTGTGGTGCTGCACAGAGGTGCCAAGGAGGGAGAAGCCAGAACTAGATCTATAGTTGAAGTAGCGGCTGATGAGGTTCTCACAAAGGTTGGCGCTTTATCATTGAGTATGAACAAGTCATATTCTCCAATGATCTGGTGAAGGGTCCTTCCCGAATTAGAATATGTCCTAGAGCCCCATGCCGGGTGATGAGCATTGAGATCTCCCAGGATGATAAGGTTCTTGTAACCTTGCAGGCTATTGAGTAGAGATCTGAAGAAGGAAGCGGGAGTTCTTTGCCCGGGGTGTCGGTAGACATTGACGATAATCACCGGTTCGGAAGTCAGGCATTCAATTCTGACCACGTTGAATTCTACTGATGGGTGTTCAGTATTCTGAAGGACAACGAGCTCAGACTTGATATCCGCTCTTACTAGTGTGCATAAATCTCGGTCTCCTGGATGAGTTATATCTTTCCTATATGCGTTAAAACCTTTGATATTGAAAGCATTATTGTTTTTAAGCAAGGTTTCTTGGATGCATAGAACGTGATAATCCTTTGCTATTGAAAGCAGTGAGGGAAGTCCACTTCTAATTCCATAACTATTCCATTGAAAAATGCTGAAATGTTTGTGAGATGCGCTGTTCCTCGGAGCTGCGCCCCTGCCACCCCCGCGGCGCCGGCAAGCCGGCGAGGGAGGCGGCGATACCGCCACCGGTTCTCAATCCGCCAAGCCGCCGCGCGACAGCGGCGAAGACAAGGGACCACGCAGGCTACGCGGGATGTCACTAGCCTGATTGGCATTATTGCGTGAAGTGTGTGATTTAGTTCCGAAAATTGTAATTGCAATCCGATTCATAATCGTAATCAAATGCAGAGCTTCGAACCTATTGTTATAATCGTTGATGACATGGGGGGTTCCGGGAGAATCTCTCGCCTCTCTCTCAGGCTGAGAAGCGAAGGAAGAAGATTGGAAAAAGTATTTGCCAAGAATTTTGAGGAGCCTAAAAATGTCGCTAAGAGCGCCGGTGAAGTTGTTATTCTGGAAGTGTGAAAAGATTCCAGTTGCCATGGCAAGCAACTCAGCAAAATCCAGCTTGTCTTTCGCCTTACCTGCGTACGTACCTTGAGGTTCTGACCATTTGGAGGAGTAATTAGAGAAGGCTACGCCGTTACCGGAATTGCACGAGGCCCGACCGTTAGCCTCGATGAGAACCCGACGGTGAGCCCCGTCGTCATAGTCACCTTGAAGCGTGCTGGGTTGAGTCACGTATCTGTGAGATGTGGGCGCCGATGCTGACGTCGTCGTCGGCGTATTCCCTCTGCGGTAGATCTGCTTGTTTCTTTGTGACTGTGGTTGTGATTGACTCTGAGATTTTAGGATTTCAGCATATGAGCGATGCACGTTTTCAGGTTCTTCATTACCTAGAAGTTTAAATCTGTTAGAGTTTTCGAAGTAAGCCTCCTTACCGCGAGGAAGATTGGGAAAGTTGTTCGTGTTATTTCTCAGTGATGCGTTGGAAGGTGAAGAAGAGGGTTTCCAACCTTTTTCAACCCATATTCTTGCATCCGCTATGGAAATATTTTCCACAGCTGCGAGGCTGACTATAGTGCGTTGCTTAACAATCATTGGACAGTTTTGATTGTTGGCCCAGTGGTCACCTTGGCAATTGATGCATCTGGGGCTCTCCCCCTGCATACGACACGGCTGATCTGCATTGTTATCATCGCTGCTGTCGTGCTTGTCTTCACCACAATGCAAACATCTTGGAGTGCTCTTGCACGAGCCGCTTACGTGCCCGACTCTGTGGCAGAGATGGCAGATTCTCGGTAGTGGAATATAAGGACGAACCTCATGCCTGACCTTAAAACAGAAAGATTTCTTGCGGGAGGATCTGGCCTGCAAACTTGATGCGGATTGTCCTAGATGGGACATATTCGACCTTTTCATTCGTGACACATCTCCTGTTTAGTCTCTGCACATCGATTATCTTGGCTTTTGGGGATTCCAGTCCTTCCTTTAAAACGTCCAGCTCAATTTGCTGTGGGATGTCACTGATTAATCCTGTCCTGAGAACCTTGAAAGAAGGAATAAATGCTTTCAGGTTATGTTTGGCAAATACAGAATTTTCCACCAATCGATTGGCACTCGAGGCGGTTTTGACTATGATCATTATCTTTCCTCTACCAGTTTTCTTTATTTCGAGGATGTCAGGAATGCCGGCTTTGACTATAATGCGGCTTATGAGCGTGGAATGGACTATATTGTCTCGAGAGTTAGGCTGGAGTCCCATGAGGTGTATTAGCGCTGGCTGTATCTCGTCGTTATTTTATTGATCGAGTTCTCATTGGCTGAATTTTCATGGGAATCCGCCCGAACACTGGACGGCGAATCAGGGTTACTTGCACTCGCGCATGCACCTTTTTTGGCGGGAGGAGCGTGCTTGTTTTGAGAATTCTCCTCTGCGAGCCCCGGCAATGCCCGTTTTTTAGCTTGTCTTTGTTCCTCGTCGATGTCCATGGGGGACGAATCCATGGAAGGCCCAGAGGTGACGGAAGTCGCCCCGTCCGGGCCCACCGGACACTCATTACCTGCGTTGGTGATGCCGCGCTCTAACACGGTCGCCTCATCTCGAGGGTGGCTCGGCATTGTCAGGCCAGCCTCCTTGTAAATGTCTTCTAGTAGGTTTTGAGAGGCCTGTTCGCTATGGGGAGAATTAGGGGGAGAAGATATGTTAGAATCAGAGGGTGAATAAGGATTTAGAATAAGAGTCGGGGGATTAAGAGAGAAAGATGCGCCCGAAACGCCACCGCGGCCATCGTCCCCCACCCCGGGGGGCTGAGGCATAATGCCTCAAATTGAGTCGTGTCTTTTACACTGTGTTTTACAGTGGCGCACAAAGTTTATATTCAAAGGTCCGGAACGAAAAACGTTCAAATAACTAGAACAAGGCGCATAATAGATGCTCGCAGGCAAAATACACTCGCTACACGGTCAAACAACACGGAGACTGAAGACGCACGTCCGCACCGCAGCGCTGCCAGATCGAAACTAGCACGTGCCGTCGCTAAGGCAGCCATAGATCTAATAATCGATCGAGGAGGCGCGCATCGATGGGCGCCACGCGCAGTCGTAAAGCGCGGGAACGGATATCACTCCACGAAGATGGCGGGCCTTCGCATACCGCCAAAGGAAAATCGACAAATTAACAGGCATGAGGGTATTGTACCGAACAGTGACATTATTTTTGTTTATATACTGTTATGCCCGAATCGTGTCGCCCGTTACGCCGGAGATGAGTCGTCGCCCGTTGCACGTTCCTGAAGAACGAAGAGCGCGTTGCTTGGCGAC